CGCCACCACCGCTCTCCATGTAGAGTTAACACAACATGTCTAAATTGATGCAAAAGAACCAGAGATAGCCCTTTCTTTCAGCACACACATTCTTGTAAAAGCTGATGTCTGCATTACACACACTGCTGCATTACACACACTGCATCTGGTTCAGGTTAGGGTTATGCTAGCAGCGGGGTCATTGGATTTTCTTTTCACAAATGGATATTCAAAAACAAAAAAACGACTGGATAAAATTGAAAAACCAAAATTGAAATATAAGGCGTTTTTCTTTATCATGGTCAAAAAGGGATTTACTAAACTTAAAAAACGGGATGATTTTCATTTTCTACTTCTCAAAACAAAAACAAAAATCACTAGAAAACAGAAACAAAAAAACTACAGTTTTTTCATATTCTGCTACCGGAAGTTACCTTTCAAAATAAGAGCGCAGATGAGGACGGTCAATCTGTGTATCTACGGTCCATTTGTTTTCACAACGAAAACAGCCAAGACACATATTGAGCCCAGAAAATGAACGTTATTAAGGGCTGTAAATATAATAGGCCTGTGTCTAAAATGGACAACATTGTTAGGAGAGTTCAACTATACAGCGATTCTACACTGCGGTCTCTCGAGTTTATTTATTATTTGTTCTGCCAATAGTTCTTCGTGAGATTGACACTGTTGGACTCAGTAGGCTAGTAGTGAAACTACTCCCACATTAAGTAGGGGAGAGTGGGGTAAATTGAGCCATTTTTTAGTTATGCTGGAGAAATGACATAGTAAAAATGAAAACACACACCTATAATTCAGGATGTCTCCTATCAATGGCAATGATAATAATTAATATTTGATCAAGGGCAGTGAAAATATTACTTCTTTTTTAAAAAAAAAGGCTTGTGGCTCAACTTGCCCCAGTGTAGGGGTAAGTTGATCCAGGTCAGGGGGTAAATTGAACCACTGTTCAAACCTGGGAATACCTACAACAAATATTAAAGGTAACTATAAACAATAAATAACAAACCAAATACAAGCTTAGTTTTTCAAATATTTTTAATATACATTTCGATTGAATTGATTGATTTTTTTTTAACATGTTAAAAGGAAAAGTAATCATACAAATGGTGATACAATTGCATACATCTTACCAATCAAACCCAGAGTAAATTCAACTTTAAATGTAGCCTACAATGAGCTCTTATTATCAACTTGGCCTACTTTCATTCATTTCTCCATTGAAAAACTGGCTCAACTTACCCCACGGCCCATGGTTCACTTTACCCCACAGCCACCATTTTTAGAAAAAATAGCCTAGCGTTAAAATTCAGAGTCATCTTTAGCTTAATGATTCACATGGTGTAATACGCTGCCAACACATCAACATATACAATATATGTTTAAACCTGGATACAATTTTTTTGACATGACAGCCGATATAGCTGACATCTAGAACATTTACTTTGACAAGCAAAACACGTTTTTTTGTAAAAATGTTTACTTACCAGACCACAATGAGCATCTCTCTTTCACAGGCAAGGAGCAATGGGTGGAGCTTGCATAATTTCTGGTCACTTGATTACAACTATAAGGCGTTGCCTGGTTACAGGGGGTGGTTCAATTTACCCACTGGCTCAACTTACCCCCTTCTCCCTACTATGAAGTACTTTTTGAGTAATCCTCTGTCAATGTCCCCTCCTGAGAACAAGAATGCATGTTTCTCTGCTATTTTGAATCAGCGTTAAAACACCTTTCTTCATGAGACTGATATTGTTGGACAGAGTATTTTAAGAGGATATGGAGGTAGACATGATATCAGCAATACTTCCAGTCAGTAGTCCGGCAGCAGCATTTTACACCTTTTTGCCCGCTATTTAAATTGACTTTGGTTGAAGTTAATAACAATATTGATATTATATAGATATAGCATTGATGCAGTCTTTCTGAACACTTTTAAAATAAAATACTGCAAATGAAGAATGTTTTTAATGTTCCGCACAGATAGGCCTTAACTTGAATTTGAAAACACGTGGCAACTTTATTATTAATACAGCAGATGAAAAGATTTGTGGAAGGATAAATTCTTCATGGGCTTCAATGGCTCTCTAGATAAAGGGCGTTTTATGGTTGCTTGTATTATCCTCAGATAGTGGTTTGTTTAAATAACTAGTGACATTTGAATAAATATTGCAAAAAAGGCATAACCTGGCCGGCTTAACCCGTCTGTATTTCTTCAAGCACCACAAGATCCAGAGTTTATAAAGTACAATTCTGGGCCATTGATTGTGTCATTTCTCCAAACACATACAGTAAAAATGCCTGTTTTGAAGCCTTAAAATGGTGCAGGAAAAGGACTTTACATTGTATTATACTTAAAGACAGGACTATTCAGAAGAGAAAAAGGAAAGAAAATTGTTATAATAATGGGTGATGTAACATTAATGACATACATTATATGAGGTCCTTGGCACTCATGGGTGTCTCCTTGGGTCATTTTGTGATCATGGGGCATCACCCTTACAGCATCAGGACAATATCATATGGAGTCAGACACTGGAAGTGTGCTGGAGGCGTTGACTGGGACTGATGGAAGGATGAGGCTGATGAGACTGAAGAATCTGTGAGGAACGAACTAGCGGCTGAGAAATAATCATATATTAAAAGACTGCAGCATCATAAGAGGCCAACAAGAGTGACAGTGTGTCACTGTGCTGAAGGATAATAATAATAATAATAATACATTTAATTTATATAGCGCTTCTCATCTGCCAAGACAAATCTCGAAGTGCTTCACAACAAGGGATACTGATACACTTTGAGAGATTAAACAAATAATTGTAATAATAATAAGAAATCAAAAAATAAAATATAAAATATAAAATAGAGTACAAAAATAAAAGTCGGAGATAAATGGCAGTACTCCAGGTGTACCATGCTCAAAGTTTATTGGAAGGCCTGCCGAAAGAAGAGGGTCTTAAGGCCGGTTTTGAAGACCTCGGTGGAAGGGGCAGATCTCAGCTGATCTGGGAGGGAGTTCCAGAGGCGCGGGGCGAATGAGCAGAAGGCTCGGTCTCCCATTGTTCGGAGACGTGTGCGGGGGATGTAAAGAAGAGGAGCGTGGCTGGAGCGGAGAGAGCGGGTAGATGTCTGGGTATGGATGAGGTCACAGAGGTATTTTGGGCTTTGTCCATACTGGGCTTTGTACGTGAGGAGCAGAACCTTAAACTGGATCCTGTAGTGGACTGGGAGCCAGTGTAGTTTTGCAAGTATGGGGGTTATGTGTGCGGACCTTTTTGTACCGGTGAGAACTCTGGCTGTGCTGTTCTGGACAAGTTGCAAGCGGTTGATGGATTTGGCTGGGAGACCGGAGAGGAGTGCATTGCAATAGTCTAGTCTTGAGAAGACGAGTGCATGAACCAGTTTTTTGATATTTGTGACCAGCTATCCAGGCCAGTCTCTAAAGACTTTCCAAGGTCTTTAGAGACTGGCGTTTTTAATAAAGAAAAAACAATTGGACGGTAGATACACGGATTAAAAAAAATCCGTGTATCTACCGTCCAATTGTTTTTCTTTATTATACACGGAAAAGGAAGAGCGTTTGAGAGGCCTTTTTGCTTTTCACCTTACTGAATGGTCTAATGGTCAGTGAAACGGGGGGCGGGGCGAAACGTTGGGTTACGTATTGTAACCCTTGTTATATTAGCACAGGCGGAGCCCTTAACTGGACTCTATGGGTACTACCTTACCCTGCGAGCATTCTCCCACTGAGACTTCTATAGACGTAGCCGGCCTTGGGCGGGCCTACCTGAATGTGCGCGCATCACACCGTATAAAAGGAGGCCTCGCCTCCTGACTATCATCCTACACCTCTCTTCAGCGAGCGGAATAGGACAGACAGTGCCCTGAGTAGAGGGCTCCGCCTGTGCTAATATAACAATGGTTACAATACGTAACCCAACGTTATATCTCTCACAGGCTCCGCCCTCTACTGGACTCTATGGGTACAGTGGGTGGAGCCCCGATGTATACGCGCACTGTCGTCCAACAACATTCCACCCTACTGCCCCTGACCGGCTTTTCTGGTCAGCAGCTGCTGCCCCACATTCTCCTTTAACCCGGTGAAATCTGGGCTGTGGCTGACAGAGCACACCCTGCTGCGCTTACCTCGCAAAAAGTGTGCTCAAAAAACAGTGCCGGGGGACCCCCCCCCCGCCCATAGACGGATGGGGAGAGCCCCCTCGGCCCCGAATGGGCTTACTACACGCCTGCCTCCCTGAATCCCTAAGGATAACAGGGAGAGCGCCAGAGCCCATGCCCCACACTCCAACACTGACCCCGTGCAGAGTGTGTGGACTAAAGTGTGGAGGGCTACCCCCCTCCAGGAGGAGAGCAGCCCTCCAGCCCTGTAAGGGCCCAGCGCGCCCCTCGCCCATCCCGGGACCCTCAGAGGGCCCGAGAACAGTGAAGGCGCATTACGTCCGGGGAGGGGGTCAGATGCCAACTGACCCACAACCCCCCCCCCTACCAGTCCTGTGTTGCCCCCGCAATCACAGACGAGGAGAAAGAGCCCGACATGTCCAAGAGATAAAACCTGATGAAGGGGCCTGGCGTCGACCAAGACGCCGCTGTGCATATATCCTCCACACTCACACCGTTGAATAAGGCTGTTGACACAGCTACTATGGAGGACGGAACATGACTTAAGTATAAATAAATAAATGTATGAAGAAATACAGGAATAAATAAATAAATACGTAAATAAATAAATAAATACAGGAATAAATAAATACAGGAATAAATAAATGACGAAATAAATACAGAAATAAATAAATGTTGAAATTAATACACAAATAAATAAATAAAAGAATAAATGCATAAATAAATATGGAAATAAATACATCAATGTATAAATAAATAAATAAAAGTCGAAAATAAAACAGAACACACGTTATTATATATCTTTCATTTATTTCTACATTTACGCGACATACATTTATTCATTTATGTATTTATGTGTCCGTATGCTAATGAGGTGGGCGGTCCTAACCTCAGTCTGAAGCAGGATTCGCCAATTGTTGGAGCCAGGCAGAAGCAATAGATTCGTGGCAAGTCACATCTGTACATTCTGTGTACATTGTCGGCAACTCGCTAATAATGGCTTCGGCTGGAAGGGCGCTGGCAGACCTTCTGCGGGATGCGGCTAACCAGCTTGAAAACTGTAAGTGACTCATGTTTTGGTCTAGTGTAAGACTGATATGACAATGTAAAAAAACTGATCTGTGTGTTAAAATGCCAATGTACAGTTTTGTACCCAATGTGGCGCTATGTTATGTTTTGTGCAGCACCAAGGACCGCTAACGCGCCAGTTTCGTCTCCTCCTCCTCATCCGTTACATAACGGGACTCCCAGACACCCAGTGGACGGTAGGTCTTTGCATCAAATTATTTGTAATGCAAATCCGATCAGTTTACTAAGTTTATATTGCCAATGACAAGTTATTTGATTCAGTTTCTGTCCACCAGCTTGAAGGGATCATTATATTTATAGTGTGTGATGCTAACGCTAACCAACATTTCCCCCCTGGATTCTCGTTGAATCATTATTTCCTTGCACTCAATATTGCTTATCTTCTTAACTTGATCCTAGCCGAAGTTTCAAGACTGTTTGGCCCCTACATGGGAGGGAGGAGGACGGCAGGGCGGCAAACCCTTTCTGGTCCTGCACACCTGCATTCTTATACCCATTTATTCTGTTGCCTTGAGGACAAGAATGCAGCCTTAGTCCCCAACCGATACGCCAAAGAAAGACTCGCTGCTGCTGGCTTTGGTGAAAAACGGCTCACATTTAAAGGTCTGTCAGTCATTAGAATGACGATTATCAATCGCTCTTTCCTTTTCTGTCTATTTTTTATGGTAAATGTACATTTGTGATATATAAATATATTGAGTTACCCTTACAATCATAACATTATCTTTATGTTAGATCTCTTATGTGTATCATCTATTTCTAGGCAGCCATACAGATTCAAATGAATTCCTCGAATTCTTGATGGATGCCTATCCAAAACTGCGGAACGGTGGCGGTTTCGAGTTGCTAAAAATATCTGGCACTACGAGAAGTCGCCACTTGATTGTGATCCCCTGTCCCAATGAGGGTTACTATGTCAGATATTTGAAGGACCCTCAGACCCAGATTGGCCATTCTACGGTTTTCATTAGACCAATGCAAAGAACCCTGAATTTGGACCCTGTAAGTTCCTCACTTCTATAGTGGTGTCACAATATTAAAGTGGAATCTGTGACTTACAGTAACATAATTGTTCGCTTGTGATGTAGTTTAAAACTATTTTGTTTACAGGCATGTCGATCAGAAGGCGACAACGTGTTAATTGGACCAAATCAGAATCATCTGTGGAGAGGAGTTCCCCTTTTCCAGAATCAAGGATCACAGCAATAACTGCACGAGGTATTACTCTCTACAGAACTAAACATCACATTCGCCAGGCACACTGCAACTGCATGTGTAGACACACAATAACCAATAAGCATAAGGCTGTGGGATGCTGCAAATGGATGTAAAATATTTTGACATATCAGCACATCTGAGGTTTTATAATTATGGGGCCAGATATTAGTACTTTTTGTTCCAACAATCCCTCTGTAACACCATATTCTGCTGTCCTCTATAATACATTTAAATATGAAAGATATACATTCTGGATGTTGGTTTTGAGGAAAAGTAACATTTGGTTTACTTTTCATTCTATGTATATGCCCATCTTTTTCTAGAGTGTGATATGTAATGTAAAGTATACTAGACCAAATAACAGAAATAACCTCTTTTTACACTAGACCATCACAGAGCAGCGGTGAGGTACAGATTGAGTTGACAACTGAAAGGGCCTCCGGAAGTCAAGTTAGATTTGAAAGCACGTTCACAGGAGCACAGGGAAATGAGACAACAAGGGCCAGGAACACAAGACACTCGGTGCCACCTCAGGAAATGTTGCCTTCTCCTGAGGTAGTTGACATCGATCCCACTGAGGAAAGTGGCTTCTCTGGTGTGTAACATCCTTTATTAAGTACATCATGTATTGCAATAAGTTGTTGCTCTCTACATTTCACTTGATCCAATATTAATTTGGAAACCTTTTAAACTATTTTTAGATTGGAGAATAGCACCAGATCCCACAGAGGCAGCAAAGATGTTTAAAGAAGACATTTTAAGCCAGCATGCAACTGGAAAATCCTTGTGTCTTACTATGGATCTTGGAGACAGTGCAGCGGAAAGGGAAAGAGCAGTCCTTACTTTTTATAAGAAGGCAAATGTTGAGTGGGCTTGCCCCTTGACATGCACACTTAAGGGTAATTCGGTTACAAACAAAATCCAAGATAAAAAAATGAACAAACCATATTTTCGTTAAACTGATGTCTGTAGTGTGTGTTTACATTTTTAAGGAGATCCAGCCATTGGTGATGGTGTGACTCGGCATTTCTTTGCAACCATCATGTCAAAACTTCAGGCTGGTTTTGAGATGAAGTTTGGTAAGTAAATATTTACTATGGCTGATCGCTGGGTCTCAGCCACTAAGTTATGTGTGTTTTTGTACCAGTTCCAGGCTGAACACAGATCTGTCCCTTAACCCCAGAAAACAAAACGTATTCCTAAAACCTGATGTGATTGTAGCTGCTGTGAACATGTAGGTTTCTACAGGATCAACCAGTATCCAGTGGCGGTTTGATCATTCCTTTACTAATGCTTTGTGATAGTTGAATATCTATGTCCTTTACTTTACTATCAATTTACTTTGACTGTTTTCCTATATTTGCAGTGCCTGGAGGAACTCTTCTTTTTGAAGGAGAACAAGATCATCTGATTCCCTCCACTTCTCATCTCCTTTTGGAGAGTGACTTCTTTGTTGTTGCTGGCCGAATGATTGGACATTCATTCCTCCATGATGGGCCATGCCTAGGTGGACTGAGCCCAGCTGTCCTGCATGTGCTCTTTGGTGGATCCCCAGAAGAAGCCACAATAGATATTAAGGACTGTGTTGACCTTGATATCCGTGAGACAATCAAGTTGGTATGTTCAATGTTTTTCTAACCTATTTTATTATTCAACCTTTGGATATTATTTATTTAGCTGATCTACTTTCAGATACTGTTAACATCAAGTGGCTACACTTTGCACCAGCAGGAGTTACTGAAGCATTATAAAACACCATGCACTGATATATTAAATATCATTAGAACACTTACAGATGTCCTCCTATAAGATGTTTTTTGACAAAACATAGCTTTTACAGGTTACCAACTAACATGCTGATTATAAGTTAAACTTCTTATGTTGTATCAAAGTTGAATGTTTATACAAGTATTGAGAAATTAACGATTCTTATCAAATTCATTCTACTTGCCATTATTAGCTGGAGGGAACAGCAGAGTTATCATCAGAAGAAAAAAAGCTCATCAATGAGTTGGCACTGTCCTGGGATTTGCCTCTAGTCACATGTGACAACAGGAGATGGCTATTTGATAAACTGATCCTCCATGCTGTGAGTATTCTTAACAGGTCATATGAATCAGACTGACTAATCAGAGTTGAAGTTTTGAAGTAGGACCTCATTTTGGCATATCACATTTGAGCTTTTTTGTTAAATACATATTTGGATGTTAATAGTGTATTAAAACATGCTTATTGGGCTATTAGATCAATCAGGCTGCTTTGCTTTTCTACTGTGATGCAAATATTGTGCAGGTCCTTGGAAGAACCTCCAGACAAGTCAAGCAGTTACGAAGGGGTTTAAAAGAGACACTGATCTGGCCTCTGCTGACGGAGAGGAAAGACACGATTCCCCTTCTCTTTCCAAGAGCATCTGATTTGCAGTGCACACCACGGGTAAGTGATCTCATGCTGCTCAGTCAAATCCTTCCTCCTAACTCACAGGAGTTAGAAATTGGGTTTATTTACTACTCTCAGACCTACATTGCTTTAAGTTTATTAAAACAAACATTCACCTACGCAAACATATTTTGAAATGAAATGATGCTACTTGCTGCTTAAAAGGAGCTAAACCAATAGAACAACTGTATCTTTAGACTACTCTGCTGCTCCACAGCAAAACCTGCAGTTTCTTGTATGTTCTGTTTATTATTGTGCTTTCACTGGGCTCCTTTCAAAACGAAATCTGTCAGATGGTGTTGGAGAAGATAAACTGGCCCACACAGGATGAGGATGAAGACAGTGAAGTCTCTTTGGAGGATTCCTGTAGGCTCACAGGATTCCTGCGCACATTTATTGAGATGGGTAAAACAACGTCTTCAAGCTTTGTTTACTGAAAGTTTGTAATTATTATAACGAAAGCTGCGCTTCCTCTGTTTTTATCTTTAAAGCTACAGTAACAATCCAAGGCGTAATTTAAGTAACATTATTGTTATTTAACTATTAACTGAAAGCAATTATAATAAAATGAATTTATTCTCTGTTTTATAAAGCATCTCCCGTTATCCTTGGGAAACTTGTGCAGTTCTGGATAGGATGGAATGTGCTTCCTAGACATGGCCTGGATGTGACCGTGGTGGAGAGCAACTTCCCCAGCTCTTCCACATGCTTTCACCAGCTGAAACTTCCAGGACATTACAAAGAGTACTGTATGTTTGAAAGGGACATTCTTGCTGCTATTTGGAGCACTGAAACTGGGTTCGGGATGGTCTGAAGAGACGGACACACCTTAGTACTAGATTTGTTGTCTTTTGTTTGGCCGGCCAAAAATGTATGTTTTCAGAGAGGAAAAAAAACTCAGTTAATGCCTATACTCCGGCCAGTTTGTGTAACACTGAAAATATATAAAGATAAACATGCTTTCCTTGTTATTGCACATAACAAAGAAAGCATGTTTATCTTTATATATTTTCAAAGTTTTAAATTGATATTCGTTACAAAATGTTCATTAACTGTAACAAATGTATATTTCTTGATGCATTACAGTAAGTGTTGATTCACAACAAGCATATGTTCAGTGCAACACATGTTTCAAATGACTACTGAACGTAACTTCATTACCATCTAATTTTTATTGTATTAAAATCGAAATATACTGAATCTTGGTACCAGCGTCTTCATGTAACTCAGTCAAATATTGTCACCTAATCGTCCTAGTCGAAACTTTAAAAGACTACATTTCCCACAGCAACAGACTTTTGATACACACACACATTTACTGTAGCATTTCAGTCAATAAGCCCACAGTTTGTACATAGACATTCCACACATTGGACAGAGGGCCATCAGGGTCTGGAAGTCTTTCCACTTCCTGGTCAGTCAGTGAACGTTGCAGCTGAACTTCAGGAACCATAACATGAGGCAGGCGATGAGCACATGGTCCAGTCCAGTCAACTCCAAACTCAATGTCAACCTGCAATTGCAAGAGCTAAAGTTAGAGTCAACCAAAATCAAAGTTTTAATATATTTGTCAGTTAATTCATTTTATATAACCGTTTTGTATCATCTCCTGGAATTCCTGATTAATGTCTCATGAACAGCTGACATCAATCAAATCATTAGAGAGCAGAAAGCCCTGATGTATCATTATCTTCCTTAACCGCTTGTTCTGGTTGATCACAGCATTTTAGGAATACCTCATAGAAGTGTTTAAAGTGCCGATGATATGCAGAATAAAATAATTCCATCACATTCAGTTTCCTCGACAACAGGCCACTATTTGTTACATTGTGAAACTATACTCACTTGTATTATTTGTTTTAAACAGTTTGTGTAATGACAGAAAAAGTGGGTATTAGTGTTAACATGGTCCCATGTAGGAAAGTAAAGTCAAAGTCAAAATAAAACTATTGAATACAATCAAACCTGTATATGTTCCTGCTGGGCCTCACGCTCATGGCGAGTCCACAGTTGCAGTGGGGACCGGTTTCCCTCAGTGCTTAGTCGGTGGCAGTTCCAGCCTTGCTGGAAAAACTGCAGGTGCTTCTGTATGTGGGGCACAAAGCACCAGTGCAGAGCATAGAGATGCACTTCACAGTCAGGATTGAGAAGGCCTTCTCTCTCTAGGTTGAAAAACATTGTGTAGAAGAGATCCAGCACTCCTACATAAACGTCTCTCCAGAGCCTTTCTATCCTTTTGAGGAAAAAGGAAGGAAAATATTTAGTCTGCTCAGTGAACAAAAAAAAAAAACTTACAAATATCACCTTTCACCTACCATAAATGGTAAGTAAATTTAGAATTGAATTACATTAATTAGAAGCTAAGTATTAACATTTTTGCCGATTTCAATAGGAAAATGTTCCTGATTAAGTGGCAAGTGCACAATAATGCCTCTGGAAAAAAGCTGGAAATTGGATTTAGCAAAAATCATTTTGCTTGAGCAAAGTTCATCAAACTTGGGTGAGGTTTTTATACTGTAAGCTTTGTTGAAACTGGATCAGGAAATATATCAGCTGAACATACTATGGATGTATAAAAAAAGACGGACTAATGCCATATTTATGCCACATTAACTGTTGTTGTTCAATATTAATGTAAGGTTCTCTTGACTGGAAAATACATTCAAAATCCAAGTTCCAACAGTAATTTGCCCGGTCATGCAACGTGCTGGGACTTCCACTAAATAGATGTTTGAAAAATATTGTTATCCTTCTTGTCAAATTATACAGTTGGTGTCATAATTATAGTGTTTGTATTATAGAAATATAACTTTTTTAGTTCTATGGTTTTATCTCACAGAGGAAGACGAACAAAAATACAATTAATAATAGCTAAAGACATATAGTTGACATTGCAATCTTTACCAAGGACTTAATTTGATAAAAGTTTGACTTGAAGTTTAAGGTACATTTGATTATGGACACTCCTGCCAGCAATGTGTGAATTCCTGTTCTCTCCTCGGTTTGCCACCATGTAGCGTGCAACGTCAACATTTTCTCCACCTTTATCTGACCTCACACGTGATGGCACACCGTAGACATTGGCGGCTTCCAAAAAGCTTCTTAAAACTGTTGCTGCCCGATTGTTGGTGGCAGCACTCAAGTACACGATGAGACGACTAAAGCTGTCAATACCACCATGCACAACAAAACGCCACCTAAAGGGATATGTATAGGCACACATTAAGGTCAATCCACTAATGTATGTACAGACATTTACACATTTTAAAAGGTGCCTTATCCTACTAAAAGTTATAATTACAAAACATAAATCATCTTAATTTTGATAGTAAAAGTAATTTGCATGCAGAGGAATTTGGTGCAATTAATCATTTGATACATTTCATTTATATTTCTTCTTGCAGTGTTTTAACTTGTTTTTATGTCTACAGAATATTGTATGTTGCATTGTTAGAGGAGACTGAGACTTCAGATTTTCATAACCAACCAATAAAAAAAGCTATCATGCATATGACAATATAGCCTTTGAATCTTGAAGTCTGGTTTGCATTGAAGCTGATTGATTATAAGAACACTTTAGATGGTCCCATCTTTTGTAACTGTAGTGAAGTGGATGTTTGAGCAATGCTTGAGTGTTAATGATTATACTATACCTAATCAGTTTGTGATTTCCGTCGATGTGCCATAAACTGTTCGGTGCTGGTACAAAGTACTTCCTACGCCTTCTTGGGTTCAGCTGCAGAGTGCGAATCAAAACTCCACCTGGATCAACACGCCGCATGGATTCCTGGACACGCTGTCCTGTTATATTCGGGGAAATGCAGAGATATGGTGTACTACAAGTAACATAATGAAAAGTAAAGCATTCCTAAATATGCCAGAATAATGTGATTCATTATCAAGTAGTAAAAAAAAAACACTGCATGGAGGATTATTATAATAATAACAATCCCTTACTTTGTATGCGTATCCCTCGTGCATTCAGGTGCCCCACCATCATTTTGTATCCAGAGTTGGGATGATGCTGTAGAATTTGGGTAACAGTTTCATCCAAACTGTTGTCATCTAACAGAGTTAATAGATCTTGGACCCTGATCATCAAAAATAACGAAACAATAGTAAGTCACAATAAACAATAGTCACCTTTTGCACTGTACAATCAAAACACATCAGAATGAGTGTGTTGCTCTGTACTAACCTGCATTGAAAGATGTAGGTGTCATCTGAAACAAATGAGCTGGTCTCTTAAACCTCATTACTATTATTAGGCCTACATCATGTCTGAGGTAATGGTACCTTTGCTTTGTGTACAAAGCATGTTTGTATCTTTGCCCCGACACATGTCTATCTGATGTATTGGTTTCAACATATAAATGGCCTATTACCATTTTAATAAATATGTAAACAAGTAGGCTAATTTGGATGGAGAAAATGTAGGCTAATGAAACGTTATCATTACTAAACACAAGTTAATGCGTCTAACAAATGTGTACACTGATATAGCCTACGCCAAAACAATAAAAGTAAGGAAATCCAGACAAAAAACGTGAAAGAATGCGGATTAAACCTACCGTATCCCGTTCTGTGTCATCCTCCGACGAATTGTTCTTTCGCACACCCCGAACACCTGCGCGATGTCCCCAGCGGTGTGGCCCCAACGAAGATGTGCTTCAATAACGTTTAGGGGCAACATGTAAGATGGACGCCCAAGGGTCGCCTCCTCTGTTTCCGAGAGGATTTCAAGTTGGCGGGCAACCTCTTGAAGACTCTCAAACACAGCTGGGTTAACATCCACATCCATGTCGAGCTGAGCCAAGTCCTCTATACATCGTTCCACACGAAACTGGACATAGTCTTTTGGTTCTCCATTCTCTAAATGGTCCGCTAATGATCGTAAATGATCTCCAATGGCTCTTAAATCAATATCCATAAATAAACCTTACAACTGTGGATAAACCATGGATGTATAAAGATAAGGGCTAAACAGTAAAGCTCCTGCATTCGAATCAGCGCGGTTATCCAGGCGTTAGTAGTAGAGCCCTCTGCCAGAAATGATCACACACTCCTGTAACCAATCCTGCTTCAGACTGAGGTTAGGACCGCCCACCTCATTAGCATACGGACACATAAATACATAAATAAATAAATAAATGTATGTCGCGTAAATGTAGAAATAAATGAAAGATATATAATAACGTGTGTTCTGTTTTATTTTCGACTTTTATTTATTTATTTATACATTGATGTATTTATTTCCATATTTATTTATGCATTTATTTATGCATTTATTCTTTTATTTATTTATTTGTGTATTCATTTCAACATTTATTTATTTCTGTATTTATTTCGTCAATTATTTATTCCTGTATTTATTTATTCCTGTATTTATTTATTTATTTACGTATTTATTTATTTATTCCTGTATTTCTTCATACATTTATTTATTTATACTTAAGTCATGTTCCGTCCTCCATAAGCTACAGCCCGTGTGGAGTGCGCACGAGCCCCCGTGGGGCAGGCTCTCCCTGCCTGTCCGTAGGCATGTGCAATGCACTCGCAGAGCCAGCCTGCCAGGCGTTTCTTGGACAGAGCTTTCCCGATCACCCCGCCCCCGAAGCACACGAACAGCTGTTCGGCAGAGGAGGTGCAGTTTAGCTTCCCTGGCCCCACCATGGGGGGGAAGACTAAAACCCCCCAACTGAATATCCCTCGACCTGAACGCACTCCTTAGGCTCTTGGGCACAAAGGAGGGGTTCGGTCTGAGTGTCGCGCCGCTCCGGTCACCCCGAATCAGTAAACAGCTCGGGTGCACCGACAGAGCGGTTAACTCGGACACTCTTTTGGCTGACGTTAAGGCAAGAAGCAAAGCTGTCTTCCACAACAGTGCTTTTAGGGAGGAGAGCTCCAGAGGCTCAAATGGTTCTAAGACCAGAGCTCCGAGCACTAGGGGCAGGTCCCACTGCGGGGTGGAGGCGTGCACTACTGGGCGCAGCCACCTGACCCCCTGTAGAAACCGCAACATCAGTGGTTGACTAAAGGCTGACCTGCCGCCAAATCCCTCATGGCAGGACGAGATGGCTGCTGCATACACTTTGGCCGAGAGTGGGTAACGCCCCGATTGCACCTGCCTCTTGAGACATCGCCCCCCAGAACTGGGGAACCGCCCAGGGCTGGCCCACCTTCATCTGTGTCATCTCTGAGTCAG